AAAGTATTGACTGTATGATCAGTATGACAGATGAACAGATCGCCACTGGGATTACAACTAAAGACACAGAAAAAACTGCGGCATGTGTCCGGCTCCTTATGGGTACTGCAATATTTGAAGTGGCGGAACGACGTTCTGGTGCTCTCCGTCAGAACTACGCCCCTGTCAGACGACGAGACATATACCACGTGATGACACGTTAGGCTCGTGTTGTGTTCAAGGACCCTGACCTTGGCCAGGAAAAATAGGCACTCCCTTGTTTAACTTTTTTGCGTTCTAGATTTCTTGAATTTTTTTCTTTTTTGCGTGTGTTTATAAATTACCTCGAGGGCCGTACCAAATGGCCGTATACGGCCTGAGGGCCGGAGGTTCCCCACCCCTGCTTTAAGCAATGAGGTCCAATAAATGAACAGTTTTTGTTATTTGAAACGAGAGATTTTTTGCTTCTATATTCAAAAAACTATTTTACATTTTAACTTGTGACTTCTTATATCCTAAACATGGTTACAAATTAATGATCTGCACGATCATTAATACTTTCAAGGCATATAACTTAGCATTTCTTAGCTATTGAATTTTCAAGTTGTGAATATTTCATGTTACAAAGAGAAAGACTTGAATCAAACCACATTTTCAAGGTATTTGATTTTAGAGTTTGGGCAGATTAAATGAAATGACACAAAAACACTTGAATACAATGTAAGTATGTTTGATTGTCATTGATGATCAGTTCCTCCCTCATTCTCCTCTCTCAGATAGAAGACACCTGTTTCAGTTTGACTTTTTACGGGGAGGGGTACTCAGAGGGGACTGATCCCGCGCAGGGCCGACCCAACACAAAGATCTGCACTCAGGTCATAGGAGCAGGTAAGAACTACACTCAGCTGATGTTTAGTACACCTCTATTACTGTTTAACATACAACCACAGATATTATACCAGTCCCAGATACATTTGTTTTAAAGAGTAATTATGGTAATTTTCAGGTTCATATGAAACCTAAAAACATAATATGGCTCCTTTAAAAGGTTGGACAGGGGAGTGATCTATACTTGATTGTGAGTTTAGGTCAGGGGTGTCCAAACTACGGCCAGGAGGCCAACTGTGGCCCGTGGTCGACTTTTAATTGACCAGAGCAAATTCTCAAAGTATAATGGAATATGGCCCAAACAGGAAACTTGTGCTTGTTTTATATTGTACTTCTTAAATACGTAAAGATGTATTACACACTATATTTATTAGTTAATAAGTCCAATTTTTTTCCTATTTCGTCTTAACCCCCAATCTGAGGCTTGTTTTAAGAAATGAGCTGCAAACAATTTTTGTTACAAAAATAATGACACCCTGTTAATGGAAAGCTGTTATGTACGCTGTTTGTTTTCTTTAGGCATATTCAATTATCAAGAATAATTTACCTACATTTGATTGATTTAGCTAACTTATAACTGAAACATTTTGGGACACCCCTGGCCGAGGAGATGAAGCAGGTTGGGAGACTCAATCCAGTCTCTGTGCATCTCAATGGAAACAAATCCTCTGTAAGGTCTAGCCAGAGCACACTGGCCCTTCAAGTGTGATACTCCAAGTCGAAGGGAAAAAAAGAAAGACATACAAAATATTTGTGTTAAACAGCAAAATCCGATTTGTATGAAATCAAAAAAATCAGATATACATTCATACAATTCAGTCTGATTCAAGGAATACTACAACCGCAATATAAACGTTTGTATGTTAAATCCTAACCAGGTGTAACCTTAAATCCTTCAGGTAATCTTTGTTTTTCTTGCATTCCTCCATGATTAACAAAGAATAAAAGGAATCTGAGAAAAGTCTTGGTGAATTGAAGTACATTTTGCCAGCCTTAAACAGCAAAACTATAAACCCCAGATTTCAACTTAACGTGGAGGGAGAAATTGTTTTAAATTGGTCATTCTGTTGGCGAAGTATTCTCTCACACCCCAATTAGATATAAGACTTTAATACACATACAATACTTGGCAGTGAATCATTGTTGGTTTTGGTCCTTTTATTTCATTCAATTCTTTTGCACTTTTTGACCCCACCTGTTTGTTCTGTTTCCAGAGCCTGGTTATGTCGCTACAGTTTCTGCTATTGTACAAGCAGCCCTAACCCTGCTGAATGAATTGCACTCTCTTCCCAGGAGGTCAGTCTGTTTTCTTTTTTCTCTACTTCCTTTGTTTTGTCCCATCTATCAAACAAGTTTATATTTTGTGACACCCTTCTATTTGATCTACTGTAAATCTGCCTACATTCATACTTAATCCCACATTCTCTCTCACAGAGGAGGGGTGTACACTCCAGGAGCTGCCTTCCACAAAACCAGTCTGATCGAGCGTCTCCAAAATCACAGCATCAAGTTCTCAGTCAAAAGCTACGAATAAAAAGCTCACGCCACTTCCCAGTTACAGGATATCATATTTTAACCGATGTCCACTGTGGATGTTGCCCCGCTTTCCAACGAGTCAACATAATCACTTTCAAGCTGAACCCTGCATCGACTGGTTATTGGTCGTCAGTGAGAGTTGATCCAAGGGGTCAAAGCTGGGAAAGGAGCAATCACAGCAGGAAGAGAATCATTGTCTTGTTCAAAGACACACTTCTACACACTGGCCTCCTCTCATTAAAACCTACGGATCCCTAAATCTCTTAAAACAGCATGTGTTGACTATGCATTAATGAAAAATAAGCTGTATTGATTTAATCAATAATAATCTTCATTTTCAACACTTATTAAACACTAATTTAAAACAGAGCAGAAACTATAGAAATATCTATATCTAATCTATAGTAAGCGTGAAGTCAGTATGTTTCTTTTAAATAGTGTAAAATCAAGAATATTTAACTTAAGTCGTTCCTGGAAGAGGATGCATGACCGTGCCTTCTAGCACCTTGTCATCATCTCACTGTATGATAGAGACAAGACGTTGGAATACATTTCAAACCTTTGAAGTGTTCTTGCAAGCTTACAGTTGTGTGTTAACTAATTAAACACTAAGGATATACTGTTACAGGATGAGCCTGGCTATATTCTGATACTGTACCAACAATGCATGTATCTTCTGACAAGCATCATCTGTGTATTCAAAGCCTGATGTGTCTCATTCCTGTGTGACACAGCTGCATTGTTGCCCAATTAAAAACATATCAATGAGCCACGATGTTATACACTCTTCTTTAACTCAATCCCACAGTCCTTGTCCTGCTGCGAAAATACTTACCAGCTATTGCTCCAACACATTGTACGTGATAAGGGGGGTGGGACAAGCGGTTAACCAATAACACACACTTATTCTTGACACGTTCCCTTTTTCATACAAAGTCCACCTGAACTTTAGCTCAACTTTGAGAGACCATTTCGTATGCTTTTCCAAATCTGATCTTGATCTTGAACATATGTTTTGTATATATAATAATAGTTATTAAACATTGTGAACAGACAGACATTCAGCAGGTCATGAGCAACCCACATGATATATACAGTGGAGGAAACAAGTATTTGATCCCCTGCAGATTTGGAAGTTTAGCCACTTACAAAGAAATTAAGTCTATAATTGTAATTGGTTTATATAAACAGTGAGAGTAAGAATATCAAAAAGAAAATCAAGAAATTGACATTATATAAAAGATACAAATTGATTAGCATTTGACTGTGGGAAATAAGTATTTGCAAAACATGTCTTAGTACTTGGTGGAGAAACACTTGTTGGACGCAGAGAGGTCAGACACTTCTTGTATGGTCTCCAGGTCTGTGCACATCTCAGGAAGGATGTTGGTCCACTCCTCTCCAAATCCTTCAGGTTTCGAGGCAGATGCTTGGCATCTAGAAGCTTCAGCTCCCTCCACAGTTTGGCCACTAGCCACTCATTTGTTGCCTTGGCCGTATGTTCAGGTTTATTGTCCTGCTGGAAGAGCCATCCATGACCCTTTTTCAGTGTCCTGGCTGGAAGAGGAGGGTTATAGGCCAATACTTTCACGGTACGCGGCCCCGTACATCCTCTCCTCGATGCAGGGAAGCCGTCCTGTACCCTTAGCAGAGAAACACCCCAACACCCCCCACCTCCATGCTTGACGGTGTGGATTGTGTTCTGGAGGTTATATTCAGCATTTCTCTTCCTCCAAACACAGCAGGTTGAGTTGTTGCCAAAGATCAACATTTTGGTCTCATCTGACCACATCATCTTCTCCCAAGCCTTCTCTGAATCATTCAGATGTTCATTGGCAAACTTCAGACGGGCCTTTCATGTTCTTCTTGAGCAGGGGGCCTTCAGGCGCTGCAGGATTTGATCCATTATGGTGTAGTGTGTTACCAATAGTTTTCTTGGTGACTGTGGTCCCAGCTGCCTTGAGATCATTAACAAGTTCCTCCCGTGTATTTCTTGGCTGGTCTCTCACCTTTCTCATGATCATCAATACCCCACGGGGCCCGATCTTGTGTGGTGCCCCAGACCTAGGGCGATTGATGCTTATTTTGTCTTTCTTCTATTTCTGAATAACTGCACCAACAGTTGTCTCCTTCTCACCGAACAGCTTTCTGATGGTCTTGTAGCCAATCCCAACCATGTGAAGGTCTACAATCATGTCCCTGAGCTCCTTAGACAGCTCTTTAGTCTTGCCCATGGTGGAGATGTTGGAATCTGATTGATTGATTCTGTGGACAGGTGTCTTTTATACAGGTAACACGTTGGTATTAGGAGTACTTTTTTAAAGGAAGATTACTTATTTAACCGGTCTGTGGGAGCCAGAATCCTTGTTTGTTGCAAGGGGATCAAATACTTGTTTCCCACAGTTAAATGCAAATACATTTTTATCTTTTATATAATGTTAATTTCTGGATTTTGTTTTTGATATTCTTACTCTCACTGTTAATATAAACCTACCATTACAATTATAGACTGTTAATGTATTTTTAAGTGGGCAAATTTACAAAATCTGTAAGGGATCAAATACTTATTTCTAATAATACATAATACATTGTATTTGTATAAACGCTTTACATTATGTTACTGGATAATTTTATCCTTACAATACTTTCACATCATCAGGTTTCATTCCATTCAATACTGTGGACAATACCCGCAGGAGCAATTTGGGGTTAAGTGTCTTGCCCAAGGACACAACGACATGCTGACTGCATTGGGACTCAAACTTGCTATCCACTGNCTTTCACATCATCAGGTTTCATTCCATTCAATACTGTGGACAATACCCGCAGGAGCAATTTGGGGTTAAGTGTCTTGCCCAAGGACACAGAGGCATGCTCACTGCGAGGCTGTCAAGGTGGGATTGAACCGGTGCCCCCTGATCTGAAGATGAGCGCACTAATCCACTGAGCAGCAACTGCCCCAGAAAAGTAACATCTATTTCATTCACAAATCAATCAAAGTATGAAATGTAATTATTTTTACATTTTAAATGGATTTAACTAGAAACATATTGAGGTTTGCGAGACTCCTTGCGTATGTGAACAATCAACTACAGGTATAAGATTAGTTATGTAATGATGGTTTTATTATTACATTTCAATTGTCTGATTATGGCTTTACATTCCATACATGTTATAGAATGTGTAGTCTTGTCGTTAACACATTTCTGAGTCTCTAATATTTTGTGTTTGTGACAGGGGCCGGCTACGTTTATAGATATGTATCTTGTATTTTGTAAATTGTAAATTGTGTAACTTGCTGCTGTTAAATACCATCAAACGATGTGCAATATGTGCGTTATGTGCAATATACTTTATATACATATGCCATCTTTAATAACTGTAATATATACTGGGCTGCTAAATCCTAAAAACTGCTACAGGATTTGATTTGTAGATTTGATTTCTTTTTGATCTATATTTTTGAAAATTATGTAACTTTTTTAGTTTTTATCTTTTTTTTAGCATATTGTTTATTATATTATAACTTAGTACTTTTTTAGCATATTGTTTATTATATTGTAACTTAGTACTTTTTTAACGCATGTAAGATATGCAACACTAAGCTGTCTGTGGCTCTTTCCTGCTGTAACGCTGCAAATTTCCCCTCTGTGGCACTAATAAAGGTATTCTGATATCTCAGTAGGTGAATGCTCGCATAATACGGTTAAGAGGTAGTACCCATAGAGTCCAGTAGAGGGCGGAGCCTGTGTAAGATAACAAAACACAGGAGTGTACCTTGTTAGCTAATGTTAGCTAGCTGTCATTAACGTTACACATTACACTCGTAGAAATCTTGTACAGCCTGTCCCGCATGCTTGCTCTTACGGAACCGACTAACTCCCCTTTTGTGTAATAGCAGCTCTCAACATGCCCAGACTGTAATGATTTCCAGCTAATTTAATACTTTTCACCTCATTCTGGTGTTGGTGACGTGTATTGTGCGGTGCGAGACCAGAGATGTAGTTCATTGAGTGGTTTCACACACAAATTTTTTCGACAAACTGTGACTTTTTTTACTTGGAAATGATTTTTTAAGATTGACAAACATCATATGTGTTATTCATGGCACAATTCAAACGGGATCGAAAGATAACTTTTCTTTCGCCATTGACTTCAATACATATTTTTTCCGAAATAAGGTCCCATGGAGTTCCACCGGAAAGGGAGGGACTTCAGCTCTCCCTTCACTCTCTTGGATAAACCAATCAGATTTTGCCATGATCTCCATTAGCGAATCATATCAATACTGTCATTTTCTTCTCTGCTGCTGTCATTTGACATATCAGTGCAAAAATCATTTCCCACTCACCTCCAGTTCTCTTCACATCCAGGGCCAAGGGTTCTTTCCAGGAGAATCCGAACTCCACTTCAAATCTATGCAGATCTTTAGTGTGTCTCGACTCAGTGGGGGGAGGCGGTATTCCTGTATAACTCATATCACCACCCCCTAAAAGCTGATGACCTCTCAAAAAGCGATCAAAGACTCTTCTAAATATGATGGCGCATGTCAAAATCTTTTTCCCCTCTTAAAATATATTCTGATTGAACATTTTGAAAAAACCACATCTCCACATATCAGGGACTGTATAAGTACTACTCTGTGTGCACACCAGATGGTGCTAAACTGCCTGATTATGGCATCTTGTATTTGAATAGCCATATTTAGTCCTTAAAGCTTTACAAATGTTAACAGTACTGTTGAAAATGGATTATGCTAAATAACTAATAAACAAACTTTATTTTTTAGCAGCTTTTTTCATTGAGGATTTCTTTAAAACAAGGGGATGTCCATGCTGCACTTTAATTGTCATTAGCCTTGTTATTAACAATGTTTTGGCCCCACTCAGGTGACATTATTTTGACACCTAGCAAAGTGTGGCGTACTCCTAGTAGGCTAGAGTAAATGCTAACATTAAACCGAGGATATATGTTTGTAAGGATGTTCAAACTAATTGAAAATGTCATGTTTCGTCTGACATTTTTGGAAAAAGGCTTCTTTACCTGGTTGTGGATATTTAGTTAGTTTGTACATTAAATATAGAGGAACAACCAATCGCCTGTTAGTTTAGCATATAGAATGCAAACATAACATAACCCTCCATAAAACCAAAACGTGTTATTTTCACACTTTAGTTTCGGTTTCAGACATGGCGCTGCCAATCAAATCTGATCAAAATAGTCCAGCAAAATCCTGATAAGTAGGGGTGTGCTTCCCCCCAATATATTGTTGCTTAATAAGTCAGAAATATATAATTTTAAAAATAAATGCTTTTAGTTGGTGGAAAAAATGGCTTTGTGTTTATTAGCTGGATCCAGGGCCGAAGGACTTTTTAAAAGTAATTTATGAGCACATCTCTGATAAACAAGATTTGCTTTTGTATGACAATTTGTGGAGAAACTAAGCTTTTACAGATCCGTCTATTAAATCAACTAACTGTTAAATTGACTCAATCATATGAGTGATGCTCTTATAGCTTGATGATTTGGGAAAATATAGAGGATGCATCTTGGTCATTTCTTTAATCCAAAGTGATAATGTATCAAAGCCTATACAAATCATATAATTTGTTGTCTGTCATTGTAATGATCATGTTTTTTGGTAACGCTGGATACTTCTCACCTTCAACGCCATCTTGGCTAACAGAAGCTATGCGTAGGGTGACCAGGTGCCAGAAAGCCAAAAGGGGGGCCGAGAGTCAGGGCCGTCCCTGGCCAACTTGGGGCCCCAAGCGGCATTGTGAGATGAGCCCCCCCCCCCAAACGGACAGGAGTGAAACATTTTTGTTTGGAAACAAAGTACTTTGCAAATATAATTATTTTTCTTTTTAAACATACTCCTAAACTGTTGTCTTAATTGAGTTAATTGTGTAATCTGCAATGATTTGCAAACCAAAATGTTGCTTGCTAGATATCCATTGAAGGCACAGCAGCCGTCTTTATTTTTAGACAATGTTTCTCTGGTCAAAATTCATAAACTGAGCAAGTCTTCAAAGTGTACAACATGGCAGTGTACTGTATGAGGGAAGTATCCAAATTGAGCCTGTGTTCTACAAATCTTATATTTTGTTGACTGCATTAATCATGTTTTTTTTGTAAAATGCCTATGCTGCTTTACGCCTAGAAATTATGCCAGTTTTAGAGCAGTTAGGACAAAAATAACTAATATAAATGCTAAAATGCATAGCCTTAGTGGTGTTTCTCTTTAAATATTACCCTGGACCTTAGAGAAAGAGACTGTCAACTCACAGGAGCAATAAAGACAGACACGGCTAGGGTTTATTACTTTTAATCAATGCAGCTAGCTACAAAATGTCCACCACTTCACACACTGACAGGATACAGAGAGGGAGTCTTTAATATTACATGCGTTGAGGACATCAATCTCACGGTCTAAGCTATTGTGTCATTCAGGATTAGGTATTTAATCACCTTACTCTAACTACTTGACATTTTGGCGATTTGGTGTGCATAGCTCTAAAGTACAGAAGCAACAAAAAAACCTTTGTATGTATTTTTTGTTTCAGAGTATAGTTATTGTTGTTCAATATTATCATTATTTTTACCATTAACAAACGACACGGGGAGAATAAACTTACAGATACAATCTTCTTATAAAAGTAAGGTCTCTCAGAAATATGCCTCTTTGCTTTACATTGCAAACGTTTATTTTTTTTCAGAGCATCCAAAACCTATGTTACAGTACACAACCAGTCCTCATCTTTCAGCACATAATCAACATCTTCATCACTCAACTGCATAATCATTTAGAAAACAGGTCATTATTTTTGCAATACAACCCCAAGTCCTCATATGTTTTCACCTTTAACTCACTTTTTTGATCCCTTTTGCTTTATTTTACAACGAGATGGTCACAGTTGGTAAATATATCGAGACAAAAAGAGTGGCAATATTGCAAACTTGCAGGAGTATGGAAGGATCAACTGTGTCCTAATACTGAGCATGCGTTTTGTCAATTTGCTACTGCCATGTTATCATTTTTTATATATATTTTTCAGACAGTTTTTATTTATAAGACTAAAATCTACCATTTGTCATGCAGAGAACGCACAATTCACATCACTTGGAATGCAATGTCTAATACAGCTACAGAGAGTCTAGTTGCACATTGTCAAAACAGAAACTCAGTATGATTGCGATGAAGGAAAATGTACCAACGACTGCCTTTTGATTGTAAGTGCTCTTTGCAATCCCATTCACCTGTATTGTCTCTTAACTTGTGTTTTTCCATCAGTCTTATCCCTTTTTGACGTGACAACATCAAAATAAGGAGCAAGTCAGTAGCCTAAATGGAATGACACAATTTTACTAAGACGATACTGAGATACTAATAAGGAAAAACAATAGAAACAAACATCTTGTATAGCATTCCTATTATATAATTATCATCCAGAGCAGTGTACTTTAATATATATATATCTATATTATATATGATAGATAATAATATATGATATATATATTTCGATAAAGAGAATACAAACTTCACAGGTGAGCTAGAGAGCCATCAAGTCAGCACTATATACAACCTTTGGAAAGAATGATATACAGAGTATAAGAAATCATCTTTTTACGAGGACAATCATCTTGAAAAAGCTCGACAGACGACACAGAACAACATTTACAATGGGAAGGGGAGGTGATATGTGCAAACCTAGAAGGTCAATACCATGATGAAAGTATGTCAGCGCCTGTAGATGTGTGGCGCGAGACGCCGGGGACACCGCGCTCTGGGCTCGGTGTGTTTAGCCACTGCCCAGCATCTTTGTGGCGCGCTGGTTAGCCTCGTCAATCCTGGTCTTGTTGGAATCAGCCTGGGTAAAAGAAAAGGGGCAAAGGGTGAAGGTTAGAATATCAGTTTGATTGTTTTGTGGTATTTTTACACACATTTAGTAGACACATTTAGTCACTTGGTAGCAACCGCTGTTATTAAGACTCATAGAAGCTTCTGACAGTCATGAATGTGGTATTAACTGACAATATGTTATGTCGTAGAATAAAACGGGAAATCTCCTAAGTTTGTGTTTGCTTGTTTCCAACCAAAAACAAATTACATTTTCTTTCCAGACCAGGCAACCGTAAGTGGAAAAATGCTAACTAATTTCCGGCTTTTAGAACTCATTCCTGCACCACTCTATTGCCTGACTTCTTAACTAAAACAACAATAGTTTACGTTGCAGGCCCTAGTATGCTGGAACCTGTAGAATTAAACCACATCTTCTCTTACCACCAGAAATAAGGTTTTGCCAAATCAACCAGGACTGTAATCTTTTGTCATTAAGTTTTAGCCAGATAATCTGTTCAAAATTAAAATATTAACCTTAGTGTAAATTAATCAGGTACTTACGGGAAACTATTTAGGAAAGGGGAAATATTAACATTATCTCCATCTTTACAAATAATACATTTGAAATCCCATAGAGAGTCAAAACTGGCTTAAATAAGTGATTATATGCATAAAGGACAATAAATAAAAAACCTTAATCTTTATAAATATCTTAATTATCTGTAATGTAAGACAAAAATGCTATGAAAATCTTGTCGTGTCATACCTTGTCCATGATCCTGTCAATCTGGCGGTTCTGGGTGTCGATCTCGTTGCCCATGTCCAGGGCCATGTGGCGCAGGTTACCGATGATGCCACCCACCTGCTCCAGGTTCTCGTCCATCTCATTTTCCCGGGCATCTTCTGTTACCCTAAACAAACACACACACAAGGGCGGATTTAAACACTGTGTCGTCTGCATAAACACTAGGTCAAACAAACTATTTTTCTTTTTGTATTCCTATTTACTATTTACTTGCACTATATTTTTTCTGTTTATCTGTGTTTTGTGTTGCTCTGTTGGAGAAGCCTGTGACACAATATTTTCATCGGCATAACTACACTGTAGCTATGTTGGTATGACTAAATAAAGAACCTTGGACTTTGAACCACATATTGCCACGATGAAAAGGTGGAGCAAGGAGATTTCTGCTCCTTCTGTGACTCTCACATCCACATTGAACCTCTGATCCTTTTTCTAGTCTCTGAAGAGCAGGGCATGACCTCATGAGAGTAGGACGATCCTGTGCACAACTACATTTGATATCGCCAAGTTTCCAGCACTGGTTCAATTCTATATACAGATTGAAAAAAATATATATCACGGACATTTGGTATGGGTCTGCGTCTTAACTATGACATTAGTATATAACACAAACTGAAATTACTAACAGTAAGGTTACTTTATTTCCCTGAAATGACGCTGAATAAAAATAATATCTTGGACAAATAGGTAAAACCAAAATGTAAGCGTCTAAACTATTTAAATTGCCTTTGCTAAACTGAATGTTTACTATTCAAAACCATCAATGAATACCAGTCTCAGGATACTTAGAAGTTATAAAGAAAAGGGGAAGAGAATGATGTGAAACAAGGGGATACAGATCATATTGTAACCAACGCTGCTGTTAATGTCTTAGAACATGGCGCCTGCTCTACCAGGTCAACTACCAGGGCGCCATGTTGCTTGTGTCTTCTCCTTCTGTTGTAATGGGATCATTTCACATAACATGATGTAACACAATGTTGTAAAATGTAATCAACATGTATTCAGTATTGTATCTAATATCAAAAGTAGATATTGTCTGTAAACCAGGATTTCTTAGCGGGGAGTCCGACAGAATATCTGGAGTGTAGTGAAATGTGCTTTAGCAAAACCTGTCTGCATCAGGATATATCTGACGACAACGTTTCCATTAACCCTTATGTTGTGTTCGGGTCTCCCGTGACCCGTTTCAAGTTAACATTATATAATAACGACGCTCTAGTTTTTTGTACAAAGCTGATTTTGAAAATGTTTGCCAAGTCTGAAGGTCTCTGAAAAAAAAGTGTATAATTTGGTGTTTGGGTCTGGGGAGACCCAGCAGAATTGTTTTGGGGGACTCGAGGTCAAATTTGGCCCAATCAAGATTAATCTTTGACTTTAGACACCCCTGCCCCACCCCCTTCATCAACTGTAACAATAGTTTTTCGCAACATGCAACTGGTCTCCCCTCCCTCCGCCCCCCTCCCCCCACGGGAACTCGACCTTTCTCAAAGAATATGTACACTAACACTTGAACCTGAACACACACTTGCACGTGTGCAATATGTGGTGCAATGTGTTTTGGGCCATAACATTAAATTACAACAGGATTGTACGGTTATGAATGCATAATAAGTTAGTTATGATGTAGTTAAAACAGTTTGGACCGAGATAAATCATGGGTCAAAATTGACCCGCGAACACCATGAACGGTAACAGCTTTTGAACACAACACAAGGGTTAAAGGCTTTAGGAGTGTTTGGGCAACGTTTCCATCAACAATGTTTCCACGATTCGTTTGATGGCTTCTGCACTGTTTGGGTTGACAAGGCTTGCACCAAGAACTTCTCCATGTCTTAACTTTGACATTTTTTACAGTATTTCTTCACTTCGGTAACTTCGAGTAGAACTTCAACTCTTCCTGTTCTTTTTCAACCTGAAATCTATTCGAACCCCAACACGGACACTCCTATTCCTCTAATGTTCATACATACCTGTCAGTACATACTTTTTTTCTCCCTTTCCTCCTAGGTGTTTCGATACGTAAACCTGAAGCTGCTCTCTTACCTGCGGATGAAGCCTCCACTGATGGCCATCTGTTCACGCTCGTCCACCACGCGGGCGGGCTGGCTGGCCACCACCCCATCCTGGTTTTTCCCCCAGGCCTTGCTGGCTCCACCTTTCATCCTGGCCACCGACAGTGAAAGGGAGGACGAGGAGGGACAGTTAGTCAACATTTTAACCCTTATCATAATTGACCTCAACCAGGCTGCTCCTATTACCTTGGATTTGAGGTACTGCAACAACAATGTCAGTATGTAATGTGATCAGCTGACACAGGGGTGTTATTTGGTTTCATGCATCCAGCACATAAATATATGGTGGGGACTAGACTAAGTCAAGCAAAGCATAGCAGGCAGAGACTGGTTGGTAAATTGGGTTTAAGTAAAGCTGTATTCTGCTGTTACACAATAGTAAGGTATTACATGCTGTTCAGAATCAGGCACGATATATTTTTATATTCTTGCATGCATTTTATTAGCTACCACATGTTGGGTGACTCAGTGTGTGACATACCTTATCCTTATTATTTGAAAGTTACATTCCTACTGGCAGTTCTGTGTTGTTGCTATGAGGACCCCCCTCCCAATCCCACAGTTACATGTCCCAGTGTGACAGATAACAGAGAAGAGACAAGCTTTTGGCAGACACACAACACAGAGGACTGTCACATTGTTAGGATGGACGACGAGTAATGTGTAGAACAAACTGCCAAAAGGAAACGAAACAAAACAAGAAACTGGAGGTAGTCAACAGAGAATAACACCATGGTGAACTAGACCTAACCTACTCTAACACCCCCACCCTTTGTTTTGTGTTTTTTTTAAATGTCACCGCTTTTTTCTTCCAGGTTCAGAGTTGGATGTCAGGTGGCAGTGAGGCAGAGGAGTAAAGAGTGTGTTAAGGATGACACTAACACCCATTGTTTAATCTGTAGCTGCTTCTGTCTCACAAATACAGCTGTGCTAACACGATATGCAATCGCAGCGCTCCATGGCTCTGTAAATGTCACCTCACTCTGCCTGTCAAACGTCACACCGCCTCAGCGTCTGTTTTGGCACTAAAGAGTCGGGGATAGAAAGGGAAGGTAAGAGAAGGAGGTTCATTGTTTATTTTATTTTATGATTTTATCATGTTTGTATCTACAAAATGTTAAGGCACTTTTCGTGGCAGCACAACCAAACACCTTTCACCACTCAAACAGTACACTGATATTTCTTCAAATGTAATCTAGGGTGACCAGGCATCCTTGTTCTCCAGGCAAATGTCCCTGTTCCAAACTGCGAGTCGAATGCAACACGCTAAGTGAAATCATATTGTTTGTGGCAAAGACACATATTGTCTTGTGGCAAAGACCAGGCACTGAAGCCTACCAGTTGACAACTCAATTATGTAGTGGTTCTGTTGGCCAACAGAAGGGGCTGCTTGCTACAGCAGCTGCATATAAATATTCTTATTCTACTTCTATATAGTAGCATATACTTGCTCGTGCTACATTTGTAGAAAACTCAAGCCCCTAGAAAGAACATTTTTGTAGTGGCCAAACGGTGATACTACAACTTCTGTGTAAATCCGCTATACTGTGGTCCATTATGGATCCAAAAGACCCTTTTGCCATTGACTAACTTTGGGAAAGGGCTAAATCAACTACACAGTACGAACAATTTAATAGGCCTATTTAAATAATTACATCCTAAAAGTTGTAAAATTCAATAGAATTTGAATCGAGTAATTTTCCTTCCTGTTCATTTTACTGAGCCAAGACTGGTCTGGACATAGTGGATTAGAGAAGGGGCTAAAGAAAAACACAAGTTCTCAATGGGCCCAGCGACCCAGATGATCCAGGTATTTTTGTTTTCGAGAATTAGGACATTTTGGCTTCATCTGCATCCCAGGGATGAACTGGGTCTGGCCTCTAACGTTGTATCTAGTTCTCTATATATATATATATCAATGGCAAAACTTGGCTAGAAACTATCAAGTAAATTCACAACATCATCATTTATGTCTTTTCAAGAAGAGCCATCGTGATGAAAATAGATTATTCTGAAAAATGCATCTATAGGTTACTACATGTACATTGTTTTACTCCGAATTTGATATGTTCTTTTCTGTTTTATTCTACCCGTTCTACCAGTACCACTAAATGGCTGTTCAGATTGTTTTTTATATTTTTTTTGCTTATAACAAGAAAAATTATATTCAAACAGATTTGCAAAGTTACTTCGTTTTTACCCAATATTATTACTGTAGTGCTTTTTACAATTATGTTGATGATAATTTAATGATATTGATTGCCAAAATAGAAATACCCTTCACATTTCACACATCTGGTCATCCTAAATAAATCACATATTTTGATATCATCCATGTAACAATAATCCATAATTTCTTTGCTTGTATTGTAGCATCAGTTACCGAGTTTTGTAAATCCTGTGTTGATGTATTCTTGCTATATCAGGAAGGGCGATGGCTCAGCCTCCTAGACCGGTTTTTTAAGTTAGAGAAATAGACCAAGGCTTTGTTTAGCTCCCTGTCCCTGCTGACACACGCTGCTCTTGTCTAGTCCTTTCTTTTCGTGCTTTCTTCTTTTAAGGTTTTTCTGTCCTCCTCCCTCTTGATTCCTAATATTGAACATCAATTCTCCTCTCCTCTCCTCTTACATCACGTTCCTTTCATTTGATACCCAGTTTGGTCCCAATTGCAATTTCCTTCCCTGCAGTCTCATAATGGGGATCAGGCACTCCTCTAATCAGTTTCCCTGTGATTGAACTGAAATGATCTGATTAGATCATATGAGGATTGCAGATCCTGTAGACTAAAAACTAAAATCATTCTTATCTTATTCATTCCTATCCACCAATCAAAATCCACTAATAGCATGCAGACAGCCGGAATCCGAATGCATAGCAGAAAATTAGGAGTCAGCTAACTGATAGACAGCCGGCATGCTGAAAGGATTGAAATAATATCTTGACACGTAAGATACAAATTTAACTTTTTTAACTTTCTAGAAACCATCTGTATGCGCATTCATTTGAACTCAACTTCCCAGCCGGCTACCATGCCACTCTCTGATATGCTGGCCTACATGTGAGCGAGTTCCCCACGGGAGAAGGAGCTTGGCAAACAGGAATGTTGAAGCCTGGGTAAAGGCTTATTTAGCACAGCGCTCTGCAGGAGAGCGGCACTGCAGAGAAACTGCAGCAGAACCAGAGGGGCTCAAACCGGATCTCCACACATAGCCATGTAAAGACCTGGGGCCGTATTCACAAAGCATTTTATCTTACCGCTAGGAGTGCCCCTAACTCGCGCTAAAACATTTTACGTAGGAGTTTTTTCTTAAAAGTTATTCACAAAGCCGCTGAGACCTACTCATACTAAGGATAAATCACTAAGAGTGAACTAAGAGTGACGCGCCGTTGCTATGGATTACGTCGATTCTCGTGCATGAGTTTAGAAGCGGTCAGTACGGCTCATGCACGAGAATCGACGTAATCCATAGCAACGGCGCGTCACTCTTAGTTCACTCTTAGTGATTTATCCTTAGTATGA